ATGAGGCGCTTAGGGACATGGTTTAGTGGGCATGGTGGTGTTGGGTTGACGGTTGGACTCGATGATCTTAGAGGTCTTTTCCAACCTCAATGATTCTGTGATTCTATGCAAGTAAGCCTCCGGCAGCATCCCATCTCCAGCCCCGGCGTTTCCAGCACCCCTGTGGCTGCTGCCTGCCCGTATGTCGGTGCTGGGACACCCCTGCCTGGTCTCTGGGACTCAGTGTCTGCCTCTCCAAACCCCCCCTTATCTGGCTGTAGGAGACTTTGGCCATCGCGTCCGCCTGCTCCCCAGCATGTCCTGGCTTCCAAGCTCACGCAGATGCAGCATGTGTAAATGCCGGCTTGGCTCCTGTCCTCGTCTCACACCGAACGTCCACGTGTGTGCGTGCACTCTGCAAGCTTCAGGCTGTAGCAGAAACCACACCAATCGATGCTGAAACGCCACAGGACTCGCACCAAGCTGTCTCTTGGGGGGGGGGGGGGTACAGGAGAGCCGCCCGCGCAGGCACGACCTGCACAGCTCCCACCACCCCAGCACCCTCGTTGCTCTTAGCTAACATCCGAAATCTTGGTCATTTGGGTGAGAAACGACTAAGGCGGCTGCAGCCCGCCCTGCCTGGGCTCCCCGCCAGCGGAGACAGACATCCAGGGCAAGGCGTCGAACCAACGTGTCGCTCTCACGACGGGCTGTGCCCTGCCCCAGAAATGCTGGCATCTCTCCATCTGCTGGGACGCCGTCCTAGAAGACCAGCGCAGATGGACACGGCCACCGCAGGGGGAATCCCGCTCCTCCTGCCAAGGACCAGGGTGAGCAGCAGCGCCTGCCCACCGAGCCACCCGGTCCCCCTCCGTCCCCTCATCGCAGCACCGATGACAGCCTTCCCCCGGGCGCAGGGACACGCTCATGTTTCAGCGGGAGCCAGGGAGGAGATGAAGGTTTCTGTATCCCACAGCAGGGACTGGGCATGATTTAGGAAACGAAATGCAAGGCCACGCGGTACCCGGCGAACTCGGCGCGCTAACGAGATACTTGTTAAACGAGCAATGTCCAGTCTGCGCCCTGCTGAGGAACTCCTCACAGCTGACGGATTAAGAAGCTGTGCCCTAAGGGCTGGCACTGCAGGGCTCGATACACCCGGGAGCTGGTGTCCACAAGCGTGAAGGACGACCGACCACCATAGCGCTCATCATAGAATCATAGAATCATTGAGGTTGGAAAAGACCTCTAAGATCATCGAGTCCAACCGTTGACCCAACACCACCACCCACTAAACCATGTCCCTCAGCGCCTCATCTACTCGTCTTTTAAATACCTCCAGGGATGGGGACTCCACCACTTCCCTGGGCAGCCTGGTCCAATGTTTAACCACTCTTTCAGTAAAGACATTTTTCCTCACGTCCAATCTAAACCTCCCCTGGCGCAACTTGAGGCCGTTTCCTCTCGTCCTATCGCTTGTTCCTTGGGAGAAGAATCATAAACCCCAACCTCCTGCAGCAGCCAGGCAGCTGTAAAAGTTGAGGTCTCTCCAGTGCTGTGCTGCTGTGCGTTCATACCCGGGGTAGCAGAAGGGAGGAACAACTCCCAGGGACGATGCTGAGCGCTGGATACCAGGCCTGTGTCGTTATCGTGTGGGATAGGGCAATTTGGATGGCCCTTGGTGCAAACGGAGGCGTCCCGGCCTCTCAAGGAGCGGAGGATGCTCCAGCTGCCAGGGGAGTGGGCACACACACAGGCACTGCCCTGTTAAATCCAGCCAAGGCCAGCCCGTGCCAATCTTCTCCCCGCAAATACGGCCCAGAAGTTTTCGAGAGCAACGCAAGGCCTTGAAGCAGAACCCCCCCAGTCCTTAAAAACATCCAGGCAGCCTCCAAAAGCACTGCCGGCAGCAGCGCTGCAAGCATCAGCCTCTTCTCAGCCCCCGGTGTTGCACAAAACAGTTGCCTGAAGTTTGCCTCTGCTCTCGCAATCTCTGTTTGGGCGCAGGAGACGGAGCTCCTGCTCTCGCTGTAGCTCCCCTCGCTGCTGCGGCACACAGCCTCGCACTGCAGAATAAAACCCAGACTCGCACTCGGTTTGAAACCGTGTCTTCCCAGCAAGGGGCTGAGGAGGAGGCAGGGAGAGCAGTGAGGACGGAGGCCCCGAAACCCCCCCGCTTCTCCTCCGAAGGACGCAGCGATGCCCGCACATCTCTCTAGGTGATTGAAGTCCACAGCCCAAGCCCAGGGCTGCACTGGGTGGGCGTCCCGCTGAGGGACAGCGAGGAGGGTGGCGATGTCCACGGAGCAGCGTGACGGCAGCTCCAGGGCTGGACCACTCCGCCTTGGTGCGCAGGCGGCGGGGAGCTGATGCTGCAGTGAGCTTCACATCCCCCCGGGGAGCAGGAGGAGCCAGGACTGTGGGATGAGCCAAATAGCCCCCCCATTTCTGGGCCTGAACTGGGGGGCAGCCCCTCAGGAAAGGGGCTTGTCCCCTCCCGGGCAAGGGAGGAGGAACCCAGAGCACAGCTTGCTCTGGCCAGCATCCACAGCACCATTCCGGATCCACTCCCTGCTGGGAAACACCTCTCCAGCCCTGCATGTCCAGCCCGCTCGCTCTCCCCAGCTGCGATACCTTGCCCTGGGGTTAAACCAGAGAGGAAAGCTCTGGCCGGCTTGCCTCAGTGAAGACAGGGGCCCTGGAGGACCTTTCCGTGGTCCCGCGGAGAGCAGAGGTTGGACACATGCACGTCCAACGCAGCTGCGAGCTGCCCCTTGCCACAGTGATGCTGCGGAGAAGGAGAGACTGTCCTTAAGTCGGTCCATCTCGGGGGCGTCGGCATTTGTGCTGGGGCCAGGAGCCATCCCAACCTTCCCCACCAAAGGGCAAAGCCAAGGTCCCCACAGTCACACAACCGGGCACTCTGACCAAACGTTCAGGCGTTGCCTGAAGGTCCGTGTGGTGCGTTTCTGGGAGAAATGCCCTTACCGCCCAGCGCGAGTTCTCCAGCGTCACGTTTAAAGGGAGATCCCTCCTCCGTGCATAATCCCTCTCTACGGCAGCTGCAAGTACTTAATATTTTGGACATCTCCAGTCCCCCATCAAATCTGGTTCAAGCTGGA